AAAATAATTTCTTGTGGGATTCATGTTCAAACTTTTTCGGTGCAACAATGAAATTTTTAACAAATATTTCATAAAATAGGTGGAAAATATTGTTATTATCCCAAACTAAAGACCCGAGAGGAATTTTTTCTTCGACAATAAAATCAAATCCAAAATTGATAACTTTATTTATCCCGTAAATTTCCTGCAGTACTTGAAAAAATCAATTTACAAAGAACTCTTTTTTCGTCGGAAACTAACAAATTCAATTCTGCAAGGCCAACATAAATCACACAGGTTTTTGTATTGTTCACGGAAAAGCAGAAGTCGGTCATTCGTATTTTTTGAACCAGGAAGAGAAGCCTATCAAAAGCCATCACATTTTTTAACTGACTATCACTTAAAGTGAAGTCACAAGTGAGATTCAATCAAAAAAATATTTTCAGCGATTTTAATGTTTACAAAAAACATATTATTCCATCGAATTTTATGTTATTCAATTGTGACGCATGAAAAAAGCCACGAAAAAACCCTTTGCTATTGACACAATGCAGTCATAAGCAGTAAACTGTTTGAACGCATTGTTTTGAGCGGTCCGTTGCTTTTTTTCACAAAGCATTGTCACCAAAAAGCAGCTTGAATATAAATTGTAAGCGATATGCAGCATGACACATTGATAACGTTGAAAACACGTTCGCTGTTGAGTTGGATATACAGGTGCTCCTTCAGCCATTATGATGTTGACATTGTTATAGTGAACGATGCATTTTTTGAGCGACAACAAAATTGTCTGGTTTTTGATCCAAGCACAACGAAATCATACAAGCTATTACAGGTGAATGGCTTTAGAGCACATACGCTTTTGCCAACAAACATGGATTAGGTCGAGAAAAATGAAGATAAAATATTTCAAGCACACCGAGTCCATTGGTGGATTAAAAAACAGAGAAAAACTGCTGGGATTACCAACAGTGATTAGATTAAATGAGAATGAATGGCAAGGTTTTAAATAAATATATGATGTTAATTAGAGCATACGACGTCTGACACCGCTTTTCACATTCAAAATTCACTTTATTATGAAAAATGCCGTTTAATTTTACCAGCGATTTGGAGAACCAGACCAAGTCTGAAAGCAAATGAAGTGAGAAATGCACGTCAGTGTCAGAGGTTTACCAAAATTAAGAATAAATCCACCGAAGAGGGAAAACTGGATTAGACTAAAATCGACTGAAATTCACATCCAATTCTTAGTCAGCTTAGTTCAACCATTTTTGATGTTCTGCTTATCAGTTTTCCGTTTTTTCTAATGAAATTTTTTTTTACCAACTTTAAAAGAACCTTCTTCATTTAACCAGATTTTGTACACTATATAAACTTTTTATGAAGGTGTTCTGTTTTTTGCTAAAATTCAATATAAAATCAATAGATGGCGCTGCATTTCTCTGTATAAATCATGCAAGTTAAAGCTATTTTGGTTTGTGTCTGCGATAATTTAAAGCTGTCTATAGTCAATTGATTGTTGTCTTTGACAATAGTGGAAAGCTGTTGAAGGTTCTTTAAGCGAATGTTAATAATTTCATAAAATCCCTACTAGACCATGAATACGGTATGGTTTTCAGCAGATCTGCAAATGTTATTCACTATTTTGTATCTATTTTAATAAAGTCAAAATGAGTTCCGTGTGTATGTGTGTGTGCGTTCGTGTGGGTCGAGTGTAAAAGTTGAATTGTTACGATTAAAACGAGACTCTGTACGTGTTTATGCTGGTGGTTGACATCCATCAACTGGTGAATGATGTAGTGAGTCGAGTGAAACGGAAAGGAAGGGAAGGGAAAGGAAAGGATATGAAATCGGATTACATTGTGTAGTAGATGTGACAACAAAATATGCCAAACACAGCGGCAACGACAATCATCTGATGCCGTCGAGCGAATATACACGAAAGCACATTGTTGCAGCACATTTTCAACGCGGCTCGCATCGCATTTATTAAAGAAATGTTCAATTGCAGTAGAAAATGTAGAGCATATGTTATCTCGTCATGATATACGAATTCGAGAGCTTAGTTTTTGGTTGCTGCTATGCATCGAGATGGGAAAGGGGTGGGGATTCTACACGAAACTTTGCAACTTGAGTATGATTTGGTCGTAACTTCTATTCAAACGCTCCGTTACTTTATGTAATTTTATTTACAATGCCTCTTGCAACATACTTATCGCACGGTGCGTGTTTTTCTGCAAGCGTTTTATGTTCCAAGCAGGCCGAAATTCGCGTTTCATTTGCAACTCAGCTTCTGAAGATGCATTTGCTTCTAGCATATGCATATTTTATGTGCGGCAATTGCTTCGATTTTTCGCGTTTTTCGTGGAATACAGCCAATGTTATGCAAAGCCAACCAAGTGCATGTTAACCATCCGCAGAACCATACTCAAATATTCAAACATTTAATATTGTATGTTGTTCGCTCCTTCGTGCGCGCGCTGCCTGTGATGCCATTTCATATCATTTGCACTGTCAGCCATAACTCACATTTTAAACTGATTATGTTCACATCAGATTTATTAATATAAAAAAAAACTCCTTAAAATATGACACGAGTTTTCTATACTTTTGCCAGCACGAGCTAGATACATGACATCTAAAATTAGGTCTGATCGTTTGAATTAAGCTGTACAAAAGACGAACGCGGATTTCATATTCCATTACAGTCTGAGTAAAAAAAAATAATCAGTGCTTCTGAGCATATATGAAAAATAAAGAGAAATCTACGACACGTCATCCTTCGCCACCCTCTTACACGTGATGAACCAACTTTGAACCCGCATTCGCTATCTACTTCTTTCAACATTTTCGGATTTCATATGCAAAACATGGAAAAATACATAAAGGTCATGAAAATTTGATCGGAAAAGGTATTTTTGGCTCAAGCATACTTACAGCGCTCTACATTTAATTGAGTAACCATCTCAAAACCTCATATAATATGAGAACTTTACCAAAGTTTTAAACACAAAAACATGATTGTCTTTTATTTGGAACTAGCCAGATCGCTTCGCTCAGCTTCCTCACTAGCGTTGCGTGGCCTAGAAAAATTTACAATCAAAAATTCGTCTAAAATCCAAATGTGTCTTTTCATACGCATAACAACAGAGCCATGAATTAAAGGGAAAATGAAGTTAAAGTGAAACACCGTCCGACAGACTACAATCTATATGACCAACATTTGAAAAATTGATGAAATTGAGATACGTATAATCACATGTTGAGCAAATGTAACATTCCTACACGTATTATTTTCTTTTCAATACATTTGTCTCCCTCATATTAACAAACACACGCAAATTATAACCATAAAGACTCTATGACCAATTTTTCGAGGATGGATGACTTTTTCGTTAATTGAAACTCACGGAAAATTGACTATGACTGTGTATAGGGTGCATAGCACTTGAAGCGGAATTTTGAATTGGATTAAAGTATTAGGCAATGCAAAAATAAACCGGAGTTTGGTTTCTTTAGATAGATTGAACCTTTAGCTACACAATGAGAGTATTCACATATTGTGTGAGATGTTAAATCGGCCTCACACATGTGCGCTGTACGTGTTTGGAGGGAGAGCGTCCGTAGTGTATTTTGAATGAAAACTGGACTGTGATAAGAGATAAGTGATATCTGTCTTCAGCAAAGTTGTGGATCAGGTTGAATCCTCTCATCTGTAATGCAAAAAAACCCGAAAAACGCAATAATGTACCCACTTTCACACCTATTTATTTCAGTTGCTTCGCTTCGTTGGATAGCTGCCCATTTAACGGCTAAATTTAAACATATATGCGAAGCTGGCACGTATTAAATATAATAAGTTTGTCATTTACTGACACGAAACATGAGATCAATGAGTATTCGGTGTGATGTATACAATACCGATGAAGTAGCGCACGTTGGTGTTATGCATCAGTGACTTTATCGTGATTGTTAGAATCAGATATTCTAGTTCATAATTTCAACATTTGACATAGAACGAATGGTATGGTCCAATGAATCTAATTAACATCATTTTATTGACACTAATGATAATAGTTCAAATAAGAGCTCTAAACCAGTGAAAAGCGGTTAAAATGTACAATAAATTTCACATTCTTCAATCGATAAAAGTCCATGGATGAACGATAATAAAAAATACAAAGCCACCGTTGGTAGTCGACTTAATGAATAGAACGATTGGCGTGCGTGGGATAGAAATCAAGATGCTGCTGAACAAAAATGTCATATTTCCATCGCATCAAGTGTTTACAAACTGTTTTATTTGGCTAAGTAGTATTCTTGATCTCGATCTCAATCTCAATGACATTACACATCGTGACATCGACAATATTGTTCTCGACGTAGTTGTACCGGTCGTCAACTCTATCACATTTGAACACGAAATCCATGGATGCATGCAAAACAAATCAAATTGTACAGAACAGAGAAAAAAATTTAATATTCAATTGTATACACAATACACCTACAGTCGAACGTTGAAAAAAGATGGAAAAAACCAAACAATATATGCCAAATGAACAAAAGACCACGAATGTCTTTTTTCTGCTTGTCTATGTATGAGGTTAGCTCATTTGCATGAGCGTCAACGTGTGAATGAAATTGTTGAAATAATTGCTACTCTGTGAATGTTTTTATTCTAAATTCCTCTTCCATCACGTTTCAAACATAATAAAAATAATAAAACAGGGAAAAGAATTCAATCTAGGTCCATTTAATAATTACTCATTATTTTGGTTTACAAATTATAATATCCTCCCCCCAAATTACCCATTTATGCGAGAAAAAAAACTGCGAAAACCAATACAATTAACGAAAATATTTTTTGGATGTGAAAATAAGTTAGAACGTCAAGTGATGCTGAAAAGCCGTGCCATTATTTCTTACATCAACAGGTACATTCATATCCGCGAATCTGTGTTCTATTAATCAGCTCTCTCTCACACCGGAGTCAGTATAATCTGATCGTTCGTCGAGTGCATATACAAATGATGTTGAGCTCAACTAGTTCTACAACACCAGACGTGTTATGCACAGAGCAGAATAAACAAATCTCTTTAAAATTTATCTGTTTACTAAAAACAATCAATAATAATGAAATGAAGTAGAACGCGACCAAACGATCGAACAAACGAAAAATTACGTGCAAAAGAAGTGAATTGTTGACAAATTCAACTACTTAATTTTTTTCACGTCCCTAAAAGTTTGTCGTTACATTGTGAAAAGCAAATAAATAGTTCCATTTAAACTGAAATACAATTGTTTTATTTGTATCCATTGTGAATTGCGTATTTATGCGCACTAAAATCCAATTGAATAGGTATATAAATAGTTGGTTTATTCATTCGTATGAATAAGTTTGTATGTGATCTTTTAACTAACAGTGACCATTGACCATCTATATCAAAAACTATAAAGAAAACTGAAACTAAGATATATAAGCTATTCCATTTGTACGGAATAAACCGTGATAATAGACAGTTTATTTAAGAAGTTGTTAAGACAGTTTACTGCTTTTTTTTATTCATAATGGTTTGGACTATAGATTTCGAAAAGCATCGGTAAGAACTACATCCCAAATGCAACATTTTTTGAGGGCGTGTCAATGAAAATAAATGAAAAAACGTTTTCCATTCACGAATGACATGAAAATGAAAATGATAATTTTGAAATAAAACGCGCTGTTTATTCATAAATGCTATTTTAAAATATCATTGGCTATTGTTTCCTAACTTAACAATTTTTATATTATATTTATTATTATTATTTATATTTATAAATTGTCAATTCACAGTCATGATTTTCAAGAGACGAGACGAAATTCGTGTTTCGTGAGAACGCTGATTGTTTTGAATGTATTTTTTATCATCGCGATAGCGCTTTCGATAGCTGTGATATATCGGTTTGCGGCCCTCATTCAAGAGAGTAAGATGTTTATTATATACATATGCAAAATCTATGGGTGAGATTGAGATTAGTGTATGTTTCACCGTCTTCGTATTGAAATAAGTAAGATTAGAGATAACTGTATTTTGTAAGTTTGAAAAGATCAACTATTTTTGTGCAGATACCAATTCAGTATTTCTTGTCATTAAAATGAAAAACGCTAAAAACCACGAGTGAAACAAATTCACTTTGTCAAAATATAAGTAGTCAAAAACATACACAACTCTCAATCTCACCCATAGAAATGCTATCTATAATCTCAATTATTGTGACATCACGAAAATGGATTTATTTTGATTTATCTTACTGGCGACGTGAGTTCATTAAATTAGCGAGAATTACGGTGTGAGCAAGTCCACAACAAAAAATGTATGTATCCGCAGTTCAGTAATGAATTTTTAAAAATGGCAATAGAAAAACAAACAATGACGATAAATAGAATGTAGTACCACTTCCGTTCGCTCATACAAAATAGAAAGAATTCTTTTGTATTGCATTATAACAATAATACTGGTTTTTTTACATTTTTTTTATTGTCATGCAACTATATAATTAGACAAAACATCAGATGTATGTCAAACAGCAGAATGCGTTAGTGCGGCCGCAGATGTAATTAAATTTATAGATGCTTCGATCGACCCGTGCAACGATTTCTATGACTTTGCTTGCGGAAAATTTCTCCGTGGAACCATACTAACAGACGATAAAGTATCAGTGGATACATTTGGCATAGTAGGCGATAAAATGCAGTATCAACTTTTGCGATTAATCGATTCACCTATTGAACGTCGTGATATAGAGTATTGTCAATTATTTTAAATAGTTCCATCAGTCAACTTATTAAAAATTTCTTTTTAGATCGTTTCGATTAGTGAAAAAATTGTTTTCATTATGTATGAACCAGACTCGGATTGAGGAGCTCGGATTGACACCAATGATTGAAATACATAAATCGCTGGGAGGATGGCCCTGCGTTGAAGGCGATCAATGGAATCAAAATTTGACGTGGAATTGGCGAGACAGCAGCAAGAATTTGTTAAATGCAGGATTTGGACATTCATATTTGTTCAGCATTTCAATCGATACGGACATGCGAAACTCATCTCGAAAACGCATTGTGGTAAATCAACAGCATTTCATTGTGGCTTGGCCTTTGATTTTCAGGATTATAAAGATTTTTTGCAAATCAAATATAGTTGGACGAGCCATCGTTAGGATTGAGTCGAGAGTTCTTACTGCGTGGTATGAATGATAGTGTCGTACAAGCATATTTCGAGTACATGATTGACTTGGCTGCTATTTTTGGAGCTGATAAAAATCAAAGCAAGAAAGAATTATTGGACGTACTAACATTTGAAATGAATCTTGCAAATGTGCGTAAAATTTAAGTCGATTTCCAGAATGTGAAGTTTGAATATGGATTTTTTTTTATTTCACTTTTTCTTAGATTTCGACGCCAATGGAGGAAAGTCGCAATTTAAGCGAGCTATACAATCCAATGACATTGAATGAAACACAATCTAAATACCCGTACATCAATTGGGTTGAATATATAAATTCATTGCTTCCACCGAATATTAGTGTTACCGAAAATGAAACTGTTATTTTTAATTCAATTTCATTTTTTAAACATTTTGGAGATCTCATTGGAACAACATCGAATCGTACCATTGCAAATTACCTATTTTGGCGTCTCACCGAATATTCAGCCTACTACATGAACAGCGAAATAAGAAAACGGCAATTGGTCTATGACATTGTGGCGATTGGGAAAAAAGAGCTGTCAACTCGTTGGAAAGAGTGCATATCAATAACAAACAATGAGCTTTCAACTGCCGTCGGAGCTCTCTACGTTCGAAAATACTTTCGGCGTGAAGCAAAGCAAACGGCAGCACTTATGGTTGAACAAATTCGAAAAGAATTAAAAGATGTCCTGAAGAAGAATGAATGGATGGACGCAAAAACCAAACTGGCGGCAATCAATAAGGTTGACTCAATCATTACACACATTGGTTACACGGATGAATTGTATGATGACCGCAAATTGGATGACCTTCATAAAACGATGGACATTGATTCAACCAACTATTTGTTATCTATTTTGAATATAAACAAATTTTATACGAACTACGAAATCAATTCATTGCGGAAACCTGTTAACAAAACCGATTGGATCTCACATTCGGCACCAACGCTTGTAAATGCCTTCTATTCATTTGAAGAAAATAGTATTGGTGCGTATTGGTTTGGGTTTGCTCTTTTTGTTTGAAGAATATTCATTTATTTATTTCTGTAGAATTGCCGGCGGGAATTTTGCAGGGGATGTTCTTTTCTGCTGATACACCAATGTATTTGAATTTCGGTGGAATTGGATTTATTATTGGACATGAACTGTGAGTTTTCACTATTTATTTTTTTAATTTTTCAACTAAGAAGTTCTACATATACTTTTAGAACACATGGATTTGACGATGAGGGACGGCAATACGATCAAAATGGGCATTTATCGAACTGGTGGAACAACGTGACAGAGATTCAGTTTTTGGAACGTGCTCAATGTATGATCGATCAATACAGCAACTTTACAGAACCCCTTACCAATTTAACGGTTGAAACAGTTTTTTTTTTCACTTGAATTTTTTTTCATATAACTCAATATTTAAATCTTCTATGTCGAATCAGAATATAAATGAATATTTAAATTGTACGATTTAGTTGAATGGCATCAATACACAAGGAGAGAATATCGCTGACAATGGCGGTATCAAATTCTCATACAATGCCTACAAAAAATGGATAAAAGAGAACGGGGCCGAGCAACGATTACCGGGACTACAGCAATACACACCCGAACAGATGTTCTGGATTGGAGCTGCCCAGAAGTGGTGTTCTATCGATCGTACTGAATATATGAGATTGCGAATTTTAAATGGTGTTCATGCCCCGGACAAGGTATAATATGATTGTAACTTTGTTATATAAATATTAGATTAAAATTTATTTTTTATTTTTTCTTCAAGTATCGTATCATCGGCTCATTTAGTAATTCAAATGAATTTTCGCAAGATTTTCATTGTGCGCCTGGAGCTCCAATGAATCCAATTAAAAAGTGTACGGTTTGGTGATTCATTTAGATACTTCTTCAAAGACCTACCATCGATATAATTCTGTATTAGGATAAAGAATGACAAAAAGATGAAGATTTTTTGACTATTCATTTTTCAATGGAATACCTTCCAGTATCTAATATTTATTTCAACGGCATCAAGTACTAGCTAAACTAATTGAGATGTCAGATTCAATTCAAAAATTGTTTGATAGTATTATTGAAACTTGTATTGTAATACAAGATTAAAAACCAACCTGATAAATCAAGTTCATGATTGATTCAAGTAAAATTATGTTATCACAACTGTGTTTTGAATCCGAAGGTATATTATCTTATCTTTCTCTCAAAATATGAATTCGTTATGCGGTAATTGGTGTCGATATTAATAACTCTAAAATAATCTGTATTATTGCTTCCAAAATCGGCTCCATACGTTTACACACAAACGAACCCGCGTACGAATTTCCCCTCTTTTGTTCCGATACGGAGTATTACGCATACACTCTTAACTGGAGTAAACATCAGTGCGACTTTTCCATGCGTAAATTATAGTGCTATTTATACATGCGTAAGTTTGACGCTTGCTCCAGACTGGCACAATCAATTAGGCGGATACTCCAGTATAGAGATACTCCGTATCGGAACAAAAGGGGAAATGTACACGAAATTTTACATTTTACAATAGATAAAATCGATTTCCTAAAGATGGCTCATTGTCAACGACAGAATTACCAAAAAAAAAAATTGAAATTACTCCCTCCCTGGACTCAAAACCTTCAGAATTTCTGATACTTTGTGAACATATCTCCATCGACTAAAATCAATTTCAAAATTATTTGAAATCATTGACTGAATTTCTATTGTTACTATTGTGGTTGTCACAGGTGCTCTCATCACACGCTCCCACATTATCCGTATTCCGTTTCTATAGTAACGATCCCCAACGAAAGAAAAATTTGTACAAAAGCTTTCGCTGTGCCTTTTCATGGCTTTATTATGTGCTCCGTTTCATTTGAATTGACATTTTTTCACACTCCAATCGCATTCATCTGGTTTGTTGTTCATTTTCCGAATGCTTCCTATGCCACAGGCATGGAATACGAAATTGGAACTGATTGACAGAGAAAAAAAATATAATATCGTAAACCATCCAAATTGTAACAATTGAACAAATAGACTAATCTTCTGCAAAACTTTGAAGGGTAACTGTTGTTTTTTATATCATATTTGAGGAGAACACGAAAAAAACTTCCGATCATATATTCATGACTTATTTGTATTTTTTTTAGAAAAGTGGTTTATTTTGAGACTATGTTACAATTAGAACGATGTTACTATTTGGATGGTTTACGATAGAATGGGAATAAAGAAACAAATTATTTCCTTTTTCGGCTGGTAAAATGTTTCACCGGAACATCTCAAAGGCTTATTCATCGATTTCAGTTGGAAAATATGAATCAAACATGATACTCGAGTTTTTTTTTATTCACCATTCCACAAAATACGCTTCCGGAAATATTATATTCCTGAATTCGAATCAAGCTCAAGTATTCGCTGTGTTATGAATTTCTGTTTGCCCCATCTTATTTGATGTCATTTGCATTCGCTTGCAGTCACATGAAGTACGAAATATTTATTATTTATCAACGACATTAAGTCTGCTTCGTATTTACAAAACGATTGGCAACAGTACTAAAGCCATTTTGTTTGGTGTGTACCCGGAAAAATCTCAAACAACATACGACATACGACACATAACACACTCCACAGACCTTCAGTGTAGTGCGAGAGCACAACGCATTTACAAACAAATATCATGTGTTTGCCCACATTTTTTGTTGTTGTTGTTGTCGTATGCTTTGTGCGTCAAAAACAAATAGGCAAAAGTTTGAGTTCAAGTCAATTTTATGCGGAAAATGGTACAAACCGATTTGTGAAAGTCGCATGTGAATCGTGTTAAGGGTGTATAATACAAACATACGTTATACATAAATATATGTATAATGTGCTTAACCGACTTTGCTAAGTAAACGGAAATGCCAAAGCGCGCTGCACCGCACTCTTCCTCCGCCCGTGTAGCAGTTATGACATTCTGGCCGAAACGAAAGATTTATTTGGGCAAGTTTTGTAAGTGTGTGCAACATTTCATTGCAATGCCGACCGAGACTGGCTCAACAAAAATCATTTAATTTCATAAAATGCTGGCAACTTTTCGGCAAAGTCAATAAAAAGAACACAGTTGAGAATGGGAGAAGACGGCTCAACCGCAGCAATGAGAAAAGGGAAACGAACATTTTTATGTGTTTGCAAGCCGTAAATTTCTTAAACGACCATTACAATGAAAAGAATCGTTTATATATTTTATTTCTCTTTTCACATCTTTTTTTTTGCTCGGTTGAGAGACGCGAAATTCAACGCAATTTTATACAACTTAATGAAATGGGACTATAGCGTTTGCAGCGCACACATATACGGCCTTTGCATCGTCGGTATCGACAATGAAATTTACTCACTCACTCATTATTGATTGCCTTGCCATCGCATCAAGACTGAGCTTATTTCAAACGTTCATTTCTTCAAACAGCACATGTACAGAACGTCGTCATCACCGTCATCGTCATTGTCGTAATTTATTTATAAGCGTATTTGATACAATAACTTAATATTGCGCACAGTAAACATAATAACGCGAACATTTATGTACCCAAACTGAGTCAGTTTGCATGTGAGACTCATTTTGGAAGTAAATTTTCAATGTGCCCTTTGCATATGTGTCCACCCTCTACACCCGTCAAAACTTTACTTGCTCAAGTTCACATTTAGCAAAGTCGATTCCAGGAAGTAAACTCAAATAAGGTATGAATCGACTGAATTTTGATAATTTCATAAGAAACTTGTTGTTATAGGTTGAGGATAAAAAGGTCGGTTAAGTTTTCTCACTTTCTGCGTTACGGACGTCAATTGCAAAGCTACATTCAGCATGATTTACACCACACTGACATCCTGGCATCTTTTCAAATAACTTAATTTTACCTCTTTTCGTCGTCGGGATATTGCCACAACAATATACACTACCTGAGGTTTTGATATTTGCAATTTGAAATTGACGCCGTTTCGATTTGTTTGTGACAGTTTTCATATTTCGAATCAAACAAATATGCAGATTTATTTTCTCCTTAGAAAACCAATTTCTTAAAAATCATTTTCACGTTTCCTTTGACAATTCGTGTTAAAACCATACCAATTCCATGTTGACTCATTCTCATTTCAATATTGAGTAAAAAAAATTGTACACGTATGTGTTGGCAACGGATTTTGTACAATGCAAACAGAGGAAGGAAAAAACAGTGTAGCCTTATTTTTAATTTAGAAGTACAAGTGTTTCCATTAAGAGAATTGGTGACATTTCATAAAAGTTTTGTACCAAGTTTTTGTACAGCCACAGAAAAAGAAAGTGGTACAGAAAGGTAAGCCCACATTTCACAGCTACACACACATATATACACGCATAAGTCAAATTCATTTTCGAAACACAAACGGAATACGGTTGCTTCGTTTACATTTAACATTTTGAATTAATAAAATGTGCACCTATACGAACGAGTCGATCCACAGGACAATCGGAATCGGTTCTAGAGCGGGAGAGAGGGAGCGAGAGAGAGTTTTCCCATTGGATCGTCGCGCACACGGTGAAGCCAAAGAGAAGAATCTTCCAGCAAATGGCAAATATAAAATGATGCATTTCAAATTCCATTAGAACAGATAGAAAGTGCATAAATGTCATTTGTATGCTATGAATTTAAATGCCTGTATTTGTGTTTCAGACATACAATATTACGCTCGAGTAATTCGAAAAGAAAAGTTAATAATTGAAATTCATCGAGCGTATGGCAAGTTTTGTACAGAACAATTTTTTTTTTTGCGAACTTTATCACCTGAACAAAGGGATAGAAACTGGTGAAGTAATGTGACTAAAAGGACACACACCGAGAGAGAGAGAAAGAGAAAGGAAAAAACCGTATTCGACCCAATCCAACATTAAAGTAAATGCAAAAAAAAGAAGTACGCAAAAGAATCGAAACTATGCAAACGATGAAGGGAACGCGTAAACACACGTGTAGTGATCGCAAATAACGTTGAAATTAATGTCAAAGGATTATATGAATATGGTTAATTCAATGTTTGTTAAAAGCTCGTATTCGCAGGGCAGCACTTACAAATTCGATCCCATGCTGATGCAATAAAACATGCAAACATAGAGTCGAGAGCTTACGATTCACCCGAGAACGAAAGCGTATACGCTCACAAGAACGTGTCCATTAAATATTTCTTAGCTATTCAGGTAAAAGCCATGCTGCTGCTGCTGCTATTGCAGCCTTCGAGAGGGAAGGAAAAGAGAGGAAAAAAAAAACAGCACAACAAGATGAAAACAAGCTGAAGAAAATTTACATGCGACACGCGGATTAGGGAGCTTCAGTATCAGATGAAAATGTTAATGTGATTCAAACGAAAAGAAATATAAACCGAAGAGAAGCAGTGAATGCATTTATTTAATTTCTTCGGCTGTGTGTGTGTGTGTTTCACCATCATAATCTATTTATAAGTGAAAACGTTTCACATTTATCGATGGAAATGGAACGTTTCTTATGTTCGCTGGTGATGGTACAGCTCGCTCTTATCATTGATGTAGGATCAGTTTCCAGGGAGTTCATGAATCATTCAATAGCTTTGGTTGCTTCCTCGAATTTGTTCGCATTTTATACTCTTGCGGTTGAAATATTATGGCGATATCAGTGTGCTGAGATAAAACCCCTTTGGAGGCAAAAACACTGAAGATAAAAGTAATAATTGCGTTTTATTTTCAAAGAAACAAGTCCCCGTTTCGAAGGTTCATTGGAAATTGCAAGGCAAAAGAATTTTACGCTCATCAGCACTTTGCGCAAATTTATTTCATTTTGCATACCCGCTCGACAATAACTGCACTTGCCCTTCTCTCTCTCTCTCTCTCTCTCTTTCTCTCTCTCTCTTTCTCTCTCTTTCAACTCTTGCGTTTCGTTACGTTTTTTTTTCTCTCTCGTGCAATTCAATGAA